AGTCTCGGTACAGGCCCAAATAGTCCCTCGTCGAAATGTCTGAATCCCAATGTCCAGTCTGGATCCAATGTCGTCAAGTCTCAAGTCACAACTCTTTCTCTCTCTGTCGTAGTCTGAGAAGTCAGGTGGCGAGAGGGTGAGAAGAGATGGTGGATTTAGAAGAGGAAGAAGAAGAACTCTCTCTCTCTCTGTGTCCAGTACTAACCTGTGAAGTTGGTGCCTTGATGCAGGTACCACGAAGATGGAGCTGGAGCGATGGCGCCACAGGTAAGTACCACTGGCCTCCGCCAGTATCTCTCCCACTCTACGATCTACCACCTACCAGCGCCCAGCGCTGAAGACTACAACTACAGCTATGGCGCCCAGCGCCGAAGACTACAGCTAGAGCTAATACTACCTAGCGCTGGAGACTACTGCAGCGCTCCTCCTGAGTGCTGCGGCCGAATCCTGAAGACTACTCGTGTGCACTGACCACTACCTGTGCCTACTGACAACTAACTCCCCGTGAAGTGCCTAGCACAGTCCTATGTACTACCGGGGTGCCTCCTGACTGCTGGCGAACAGTCCAGGAGGCTGCTCTTGCCAATGCCGATCGGAGGCAGGGGCTGCAGCTGCAGCCCCTGCTCGAGTTCGTGAGGAACAGGCTATTTCTGGCCTGTTACGCATCCCTGTTTCTGTGCCTGAGTCTTAGGGGCAGGTCGAAACAACAAGGGCCTGAAAATGGCCCTCCGTTTCAGGCTGAAAACTCTGGGTCTGAAAAGACCCAGAAAAAGGCTGAAACGGGGTAGGGCCTGCAGGCCCTCGTTTTTCAGCTTTCAGGCTGAAACGACCGGGGCCTGTAAGCCCTAAGTTTTAGGCTTTTAGGCTGAATGTCCGGGACGGGCCCTGCAGGGCCCGTGTGGCTACGCAGTATGCCACACTATCGCTATGCTAGGCTCCTTCTCTCTCGCCCACTTCAGCTCCGGGCTCACTGCAGACCTCCTTGCACGAGTCTGCAATGACTTGCTGTTTCCATGCTGCCTGTAGCCTCACTCTGACGAGGCTGTACTCTAGGTAGAGGTAGATTCGTAATTTTGTTTGGCTGAGGGCTAACCGAGAGACCTGCCTGTGTGGGAAATTCGTGAGGGACATATCTGTAAATATAGAAATATGGCCCTGTACAAACCCGACTTTCCTAACAGCGACCCTAACTGCAAATTGCAGGCCCGGGCTACCCCTAGGACAGAGGCCCTATGGGCGTATGCTGATAGACGGCCCTATAGCCTATAGCCAGGTAGGGAGAGGCCTGAGAGGCCGAAACTGAAACGGTACCGGTCGGTCAGTCAGTCCGCTCTAGGCTAGCGTAGAGTATAGGTAGGATGGGGACACCGGTCCAGGGTACGTCATGTGTGCAGTTTTGACATGTTTGGATCAATAATGAAAAAGTTGGCATTTTGTTGAATTCGTTGGACGCTTCATTTTGACTCGGACAGTGTCTTTGTGTTAGGGTTTCATAGTGTTTTTTTTTTTCGTTCTTTTTGGCCTGTTTCCTTTTTTGATGTTTGCACTATGGTCTCATATCGTTTGTTTTTAAAATTTTTGATGAAATTTGCACCGCAATTGCCAACGAAAACGACGAATATTTGGGCCCCCGTTAACCGTCTCTCTCCCTAGGACAGACAGGCCCCATGGGCCTATGCTGATAGACGGCCCTATAGCCTATAGCTGGGCAGGGAGAGGCCCGAGAGGCCGAAACTGAAACGGTACCGGTCGGTCAGTCAGTCCGGTCTAGGTCGGTCTAGGCTAGCGTAGAGTATAGGTAGGATGGGGACACCGGTCCAGGGCTTTTGGCAGTTGACACTTTGTGGTGGAAGTTGCTGCGCACACGGTATCAGGTCGTGGTTGCTGATTCCGGTGGTGGAGACGGCGGACATAGCCAGACCTTCGGAGCGTTGACCAGACTGGGGTCACGCTGTCCGCTCTGACTCTCGGGAAGTCAAAGCGGTCTGGGCTATCAAAGGTCTGATGCGTTGGAGCACGTGGTGCACTGCTGGCCCACCTCAGGAGTAGGGTCCCAGTGGCGATGCAGCCATAGCTGCATCTTCTCATAGATTATCATCGTCTGGACTTCATCTTCATCAGGGACTGTTAGCGCTGAGCTTCTTCTTCATCATCTGGATGGCGATTGGCTCTGGGAGCCTGTTTCACTTTGGCGCAGGCCACTGAGTTGGATGTCAGGGTGGCGCTGGGTGTTACCTGGGGTTTCGGTGCTATTTTTAGTTGTTCAGAGTGTTGGGGTGGAGGCGCTACCCCTCTGAGGGTAGCGCAACAGGGTTTTGGGGTTATTCAATGCAAACGATGCTCTGAGTTTATTAAACAGTGTCAATACTGTGGTTGAGTTGTCATCTTTTCATTGCTTTCTGGCTGTGATCACTCGGTTGTCTTCTATGAATGATTGTTGGGATCTGTGTGGAGAGAATTCACCGGTTGTGTATTCTGTCACTTCGCTCCCCTGAGTCTTCCGCTGCGTTTCTTTCTGTTGGGCGGTGTGATACTCCACTACCTCTTCCCTTCCTTCTGTGCATGTATGGGCGTGTACGAAAGCGACTCTGATTGCATTGGTATCAGAGCTGGTACCCGCTATTCCACGCGTTGAGTTGTGTGTCGCAGGAGTGATGCGCCATAGCAGAGGTGGCCACCGAGAGTCATAGTCCGCCATAGCGGACCTGAAGGTTGGAGAAGCCGCCCCGCACCTGCAGAGAAGACCACGACGAAGAAGAAGA